ATATGAATGAGAAATAATGTTATATTGGTGGAGTTCTACTGAAACAAATTGAGGATCATGAAAATATGCTGTATGAATTTCTGTTATTGCAAAAGTTGTGCAACAATTTAATAGTAATAGACAAAACAAATAATTTGATTTGTTACATTGTTCGTAATTGACTGGCATTCTTCAAATTATTTTTCTCTCTTAAATGAACATTACAGAGTGAAATGAATATTGTTTCATACGATGATCATCGTTTTCAGTCAGTTTTGCAACAAAACTTAAGATCAGAAATCTTAATTATCTTTCATCTTTTTATAGAATTTAACTATTTGAAAACCACAAACAATGTTATACAGGAGCCTTAATTGTAAACGATTGAGAATAGGTGTGAGAATAAAGACAAACGATCTTTCTTTTTTCTTCTTTCGATCTACTAATATACACATTCACAAATATTTGCAAGGCAAATTGGAATATATTTATTGATATTTATTACTTCATGAAGACTATCTGTTCAAATCATTTCTCTACATAAAAGTAACTTCAATTTCTTGCCAAAAGTACTGAAAAGATTTAATGTTGACATTGAAAATTTAATTGTAAAAAGAATTCAAAGAATACTGATTCTACACACCAGATAACACTCAAGAGGAAGCCAAACAATAGAATTGCGGATTGAACATTGTGTTGACTTTTGCGCATTGAGATCTAAGCCATTCGAGCATCCGCATCTATGAAATGTCTGTCATTCATGAGTTATTAAGCGAAATCATTCTTGCCTTCCTGAATTACAAGTTTTGTCTGAAAAACTTTTACCACTCACATCTCAGTGTATGTTGATAAATCGATTATAACTGAGACAGAGTTCAACCGCTTTCTTGGAATTCTTTTCTTTGTGGGATCTTCAATAGTTGAAAATAATTTCCTGAAAATGTGACGGTCTTTACTATGACTAAGCGACGGTTATATAGAAATATTGATGCAATTATTACACGACTCCTTTCTAATCCAGATTTCTTAGAACACAATCGTCATTTATATTTGAAGAATCTAACAACATGAGGGTCATCTATAAAATAAAATTATCTGTCAAATAGAGAAAGAGAATAAAACTTTTTCCATCATTATTTTCTTACCATTTATTAGGAGTTACTTACGATTAAATTTTCAATTTCTATAGTAGCTTTCTAGTTGCTTTTACCTAGTAGTATCGCTAACCTTTTGACAAGTACTATATTAATAGACATAGCCTTGCAACATTTTCCATCATCAATAAAATAATAGTAATGACAAGTTTGACATTCGCTCATCTTCATTTAAATAAATGTTGACGAGACGCCAGTGATTGATCTTCACATTCATCGAGCTTCCACTGTCCTTTACTTTTTTTTTGCTCAATTTTTACTTCTCCTTTGATATTATATAACCGACCTATACTATTGTTGTCAATCGAAAAAGTTCGACATAATTTGAGAGTTTGAAACGTAAAAAAGTAAAATGTATGAGAAAGTATTTGATTATTGTTGATAAATAATGACTTCGAGAAGATGAGAGATATTTCGTTTGATCTTAGTATTGTGTGAAAATAAAGACGAACGACGCAACTACTAATGAGTACAAGTTAATACATATTGTCGACGATGAAAAAGGCACGATGGATAAAAAAGAAAGTGTGCGTGCTTGTCACTCAAGATAAATATTGTCACTTTTGTTATTTAAATAAAGAAGCAATGAGCTCAAACATCGTTATTTTACTTTTTCCAATATTGATCAATGTTGAGTGATGAGACTTTGAGATTGACTTGTCTTACAATTTTTTTTTCTTGTATTTAATCTATTTTTCAATTTCAAGTAAGTAAAAAGAAAAATGAAGTAATAATACATTTCATTGTCTATGTATGAATAAGTAAGAGATTAGAAGAATATATTGATCATTAGATTGTTGTAGTTCTTTATACTTTATTCTTTTTATTGTTCGATATAATAGTATTGTTCATAGATTAGTAAAATATTCTTATTTGTTTTTTTTCTTTTTTGTTTCTAATTTTTATATAAAAATAGTAAATGATGATGATAATACAAATATGTATATTATGTATTATTATAAAAAGTTCATATTCGAATCCATTAATAAAAACTTATCCAATAGTTGATTTATTAGAAAATAGTCCATTAAATACATTTGTTATTGAATTAACAAATTCATCAAATAAATTAATTTTAATAAATTTAAATGAATTTGAAACAAAATTATTTTCAATAATAAATGGAAATATTTATACAAAAGATTTTATTGATCGTGAAGAATTTATTGATAAAAAATATTGTTTAGATAAATTTTATTGTAAAATTGAATTACAAATACTTGTTGATGATGGTATAGCTTATTGGATAATTCCAGTTCATATTGTTGAGTAAGTTATTTTTTTTTGTTTTTGTAAAAATAAAATTTAAATTTAAGTGAAAATGATAATAAACCAGAATTTGCTAAAAATGAAATTGAATTAAAATTTGTTGAAAATGTATCAAATGGATATAAAATATATTTTGAAGGTGCAAAAGATATTGATGAAGGTAAAAATAGTGAAATTCGTTATATAATTGATTGTTCAAATAATTTAAATAATAATAAAGAAAAAATCTTATCTTTAAATGAATCATCAATAAATTGTTTTTCATTATTTGAATTAATAATAATATCACAATCATCATTATCATCTTTATCAAATAATTTTGATAAATTAGCATTAAAATTTAATCCATCATCATCATCATCATCATTATTAAAAATAAATATTGAAAATGAATATAAATTAATAATTTATGCTATTGATAATAATCAATATGGTAAACAATTAATAAATTCAATGAATTTATTTATTAAAATAGAAGAAAAAGATAAAAATTATATAAAATTTCTTTTATCTGAATATGAATTTATTGTTATATTAAATGAAACATTAAATAAAAATGAATATTTTATAGGTAAAATTCATGCTATATCAAATAATCCATCAGATTTAATTTATTATAAAATTTTATTATTAAATAATAAAACAAATGAAATTAAAATAAATTCATTAACTGGTCAATTAAATTTAATAATTAATGAAAATAATAAAACATTTATAAATAATAATATAGAATTTTTTGTTGAAGCTTTTTTATTATTAAAAGATAAAAATTTTAAAAAATTAAAAACTCAAACAAAAGTTAAAATTTATTTTCGTTATTTTCATTTATTAAAAAATATTTCATTTCAATTTGAAAATATTTTATTTAATAATCAAAATTTTATTTATCAATTAAATAATAATTCAAATACTTTTTTTATTAATAAAAATATTCAAATTAATGAAAATTTATTAAAAATTTCTCTTTTTTCATTTTATTATCCAAATGATAAATTTATTTTTTCACTTGAAAATTATTTTCAAACATTTTCACTTATTCCTTTTTCTTCTTCTTCTTTAATTAATACTTATTTATTAAAATTAAATCAACAACTTATATTAAATCATAATTATTTATTAAATATTCAAATAAAACATAAATTATCTCAACAATATTTACCAAATTTAATTATTCAATTTATTGTTTTTGATCAATTAACAACAACAACAACAACAACAACAATTAATAATAATACTTTTATTAATGATATTCAAATAACAACTAATATAATAACATCAACTTTTATTTCGAATGAATTTATTGATGAATCATCTGAATTTTGTTTAGAAAACAAAACTTATATTCTTAATGATATTAAAAATAATGATGAAATTGCTTTTTTAAAAGTAATTCAATCAAATTTCTATATAAATAATAATAATAATAATTTAAGTGTTATTTTAACAAATTTTTTAAATAATAATGAAAGTGAAATAATTATAAATGAATGTCGAATGTATATTAATAAATTAAATAATTTATTTAATAAATCTTTAGAATATCAATTATGTTCTTTAACTTATAATAAACAATGTTTTAATTTAACATTTATTATCAATGAAACAAATTCAATGTCATTTAAAATTAATAATCATTTTCAAAAATGGATTTTACCAATAAAACCAATTGAAAAAATAATGTTTTTTATTTCAATTATATTTCTTATTTTAACAATTATTCTTATTTTACTTATTTGTCGATTAAAAGGTTTTCATATTTGTTCAAAAATTAAAAATTATTTATTCTATGGAAAAAAATATGGTATAAACAATTCTCAACATTTATCCTCTTCTTTTTCTTCACCACCACTTCCATCATTATCAGCAGCAGCAGCAGCAGCATCACCATCATCATCAGTACCAGCAACAAAAATTCCAGTTTGTTATTTATTTAAGTTCTTTTTCAATTATTTCTTCATTTTATTTTTTGTAATGATATTTTAGGAAAGAGATCATTCAATTATTCATCGAGAATCTTGTTTATCTTCATTTCAACCAATTAAAATAAGTTAGTTATTTTATTAAATTATTAATTCTCATCATATATTTATATCATAGGAAATGATGATAATGAACCATATTTATTTAATATTGATCATTTTCTTCAACGAGAACCACTTCCAAAAACAAATACATTTACTCTTCCACCAACTACACAATTATCATCATCATCATCATCATCATCATCATCATCATCATCATCATCATTAACATGTTCACTTCAACGAGAAGAGAAAACAATATTAAATGTTGAAAATAGAATAACAACACATCGAACATTATCATCATCATCATTTCTTCAAGAAACAAAACAATTATTAGAAATGATATCATCAAATCAAAATTTTGATTTATCAACATTAACTTCTGAAGTCTGATATGTTTGTTTTCTTGCTTTATTCATTCGAATCATTTAATATTTGCTTTTGTTGACAAATTTATCAGATATAAATATTAGTTTCAAGTCTTGCAAAATCTTTTCTACATCGAAAGAAAAAGAATAATCTTATAAATGAAAATCTGTGCATATTTTTTTTCATCATATGAGACATTTGTTTATTAAACATCAATATGTCTTTCAATTGCTAATACAATAAGATTTCGTATAAAACTGAGCATAAATCCAAGTGGAAAATGTTTTACATATGGTTCAATTATTTTCCATTTTTTAACCCAACTTTTTTTCTTCTCAGTTAATGCTTTTTCTTTAAGTGCATCTTTGTATAATATAATAATAAGGGATGAAGTAGTTCCTAATGTTAAAACAGCAAGTATAGTGACAAATAATAGACGAAACCAGTATCGGTGACACCATGTTGATGTTGATTGATCATCAAGTTCGTCTGAATCGATTGAATGTTTCAGACGATAACTATTGCTACTCATGCCACTAATATATGAAAGATAATCAATGTAATTGAAATAACCAGCAACTAAAGAGAAATACAAAGTAGAAGAAATAGAAGCTAACTTATAAATTTGATTTCACCCGCGATTTCCTTCTAAGCTATAAAATATAATTCAAAAAATTATTTCACTTTAATGGGTATTCACTATTTGAAACAATTAAAATAATAGAACTTTTACGAATAAAAAAGTAATCCTATGTAATTGATGTCTATTCTTCAAGACAGTTTATGTAAGATTTTCTAAATTGATATCTGTTTTCGTTTACTTTCGTTATAGTTCATCTCGCTATGATCGATGATAGTTTGTTTTATCTGATTTATTTGCAAAGATAATACAGCATTAACTAATAACAAAAATAATATGAGATAATCTTACTTCCCAAAATAAATCTGAAGAAATATGTTCGCTTGCTTTTTATACGATCTATTTTTTTTTAAGAAAAGACATCTAATAAAATATGTTTTATTGTTCTTTATTCATAAAATATCATTTGTATTATGTTAGTCATTGTCTTTCTTAATATTATCAATCTTGTACCTTTATTTGCTTTTTTGAATCAAATATCAACAATATTGCCTTTTAGAATTATATCTAAGACTTTATTTAAAATGCTATATATTTACGTTTAAATTCATTTTGAAAACATCGACGTTCTCGATTACATTGTGCCTATTTTTTATATAACATATTATAGTATCATTGATGTTATAAAAATAATAAATGAAAGTAATGTTTTAATTATATAAAATCAGTATTAATCTCAACATGAGAAATCATGATTATGATTTGACTTTTTTCTATTATGATCATTGCACAAAAGGTACTGCCGAAATGATACTTGAATCAATCAGTTTTTAAAAAGAAGTTGATTTCTGAATAATTTATATCTATTGACATAATTGTCTTTTGTAAGTTGAATTAATGTAACTAAGAATATTAAATAACAATTAGTTGTAATAGAAAAAAGTAAAAAGACGATTAGTAATCGCCGATATTTTCGTAATTGTTAACATCTGTTTCTTCATCATCATATGTTTGATCATTATAGGATGTGTCCGCAGTGTCTGATGAACTATCCCAGAAATTCGTAAATGTATTAATAAATCCTTGTCGAGAATTTGTCGAACCAGCATTTGCTGTACCAGGATATTTTCCATTTTTTTGTCCTTTTAATTTTCGAAATATTGACACGTTGTATGGTCCAAATATGAAAAACACCAGGGCAATCACTATAAGTATCACAGAGAAAACTAAGATACAAACACAAATCTTAGCTCCATCACGATCACAACAGCTGTTTCTGCTATCATCACCATAGCTTTCCATTTCATAAATGTCATCATATCCCAATGAGTCACTTGCTATTATAGTTGTATCACTCATGTTGAAAATATGAATCAAATAATAAATTTAACAGAACCAAAGAGTAAATTTCAAAATACCAAACAAAAGAGAATGAAAATAACAAAGTCAATTAAGCCCGCCAATTTTTTATGCAAAACAACTGGATAACTATTGATGATTTGCCTAGTATCGAAGAAAGATTAAGTAAGTTCTAGGAAGAGAATTCTGAACGCGGCTAACGATAGTCACTTTTTTAGAATATATTTGAAAACAAGAATTCTTTTTTCCTTTATGAAATATATTCATGTGAAATTAAAAATAAAATTTTTATTCATGTTCTATATGTGGACATATTTCAATTATGATCATTTATTTTATTTTCAAACGTAAGATTTAAAAGTCATGTTCATTCATCGATAAACAAGTATTATCTACCGAAAATTACAACGATCATTGAAATGATTTTTTGCATAGCAACAGTTCACGTGAAATGCAATAGCAAGAAAGATATATTCCATACGATTTAATATGGGAAAATTCTCGAGTCCTATAAGACAATTTTTTTTCGAATTCTGAATCGCGAATATCCCACGGAACGGTATTAACGGGATTTGAGATATTCATGCAAGGCTCTCGAAAATTCCTATATTAAATAACTGTATATTTATTCTCAATTTATCATAATTATTATTTTTCTACTCTTTGTAGAGCTTCAAATCATTAATTCAATAGCAATTCTTTTTTTTTTTTGCTCTTTATTATAACTTATTTTTATTTACAACAAGCACATAATAAACTAATGAACAAAATAGATATAATTAGCTTTCATCTGGATGACCTCTTTTTTGATCATGTTTAGTATTCGAACCTCGCAATTGTCTATTCGATGCTGTTTTTCGTTTTTTAAATACGATTGGTTCACTTGTTTTTGATGATGAGTTAGATGATATTCCAGTGATTTCTCGTTCTTTAAAAGTTAACTTAATATGAGAATCATCTTTTATTTCTGTTATTACTGGTACAGGTTGATTTTCAGGTAGATGCCAATTATCTGCTGGTAAATCAAGTTGCGCACCAAATGTTTTACTGAAAATAAAATAAACGAAAACGAAATGAAAAAAAGAAACAAAATAAAAGACCATGAAACTAACCGTTTTAGAGGATCTGCTTTAACAACAGGTTTCCAATCACCATATGGATGTTTGTATTTATTTTTGCCTTTAAAAAAAGCATCGACTTCAGGTGGTAATTCTGGTTCTTTTGGAGTTGTTGTTTCTTTATCTTCTTCTTTCTTTTCTTCTTCAGATTTATTAGACATATTGAACTAATATTTTATATAATCTAAAAAAAATATGATTCAAATAGTTATTCAGATAAGTTAAAAATTTTTCTAATTGTTTCATTCATTAACAAAGCAAATTGTTCATGAGCTTTTTTATCAAAATGTATTCCATCTACTGGACTCAATTGAATATGAGGTGCCGCATCAACAAAATAGACATTTTTGTCATATGCATTAACAAGATTTTTTAAATCATGCGCCAAATTTTGTGCTCGTTCTTCTGCACCTTCAAACGTGTCCTTGCAAGCTGTCTGGACTGGTATTGGTGTACTGACAATAAGTATTGGTGGTGATTCTTGCATATTAGGACCATCATTTCTTGAATGAACAATGTCAATAAGTTCTTTAATACCTTCAGCAATTTGTTGACTTGTTCGATTATTAAACTGTTTTTTTAAATCATTTAATCCAAGCATAATAATAACCAAATCAAGTGGTGCATGAGTATAAAGAACAACTGAGAAAATCTCAGTACCACGAAATCCATTTGGTTTATCCTCATAATCTAAATTTGTTGTTCGACTATTAAGACCTTCTTCAATTACATAAAAATGTGCTGGATCAAGTAATTGTTGTAAACGACCTGTCCAACGTGTATTTCGATCATAACGTTCACGAGTAGTAAATGCACCTGGTACAAATCCCCATGTATTCGAATCTCCATAGCATAAAATTGATCTCATTTTTATTCGTTCTGGAACATGAAAATATTTCATACATGATAAAAATTTATTATTTCAGAAAATTTTTAATTTTTTAATTTTAAACTAGAAGAAAAAACAATAAAAAATGTCTTGTCCCAAAAATTTGTTTTTTCTTGTTCAATTTGACTATAATTCTTTTCCACGTCGTTTTTTCTTTAGTATATAATTTTGTAAATAAAAATTCGAAAAAAGCATAAGAATTGTTATTCCATAAATTAAAAATGCTACATCAAAGATTTTTGGAAAGTTACATTGTTGTTGTAAATTAATGATCGAATGAATAATAATAGCAACAAATTGAAGCTATTCAAAATTAAATATATAATTCTAGGTCGTTTTTTTTTCAAAATTATATGACATACCATTTGAGCTTGTGTTATATAATGTTTCCACCAAAGAAATTTTTGAATTTTAGGTCCACAAGCACTTAATCCATAATAGCCATACATAAGAACATGAATGAACGAGTTGATAATTATAACAAAAAGAGCTATAAATAAAATGAACAATAAAGCAATCTTAACATTACCAAAACTTTCCAATAAGTAGAAATAAGTTAGTAGAATAAATATCTCGTTCGAATCATTTTTATAGGTTTTTATAAACATAGAATTTTGTAAATATTCTAAGAGAGTCAGAAACTTATGTATAGTTCTAATTCGATATATTAATCGTAAAATATGTGTAAATTAATGTTCGATGTTATGTTTAATTATATTTCAGAATGAAATTTTCAAAAAAAAAAAGCTTACATTGACCGCCGCCCACATATTTAGAACCACTCCATCCACAAAATGTCATTGTAATATGATGATAAACATGTAAAAATGTTATTTGACCATCTTTCTTTCTTAGTACAAATAGAATCTAATTATAAAAACAATATTAATTTGATTTATTTTTATTTTTTGTTATAGGTTATTTTTACTCACTGTATCAATCAGATCGATTAATTTCATAATATAAAACCACCAACATGCTTTACAGGCCTAAAAGAAATAAAAGAGAAGAAAATCAACATTTATTTTATTTCTTTTAAATATAATGCTGAAAAATTTGAAATCAAGTTATCCATTTTTACCATTCATAACTACAAGACGTGATGCATGCACTACGCATGTGGCTGATACATGATAAGATAAATTAAATTGTCGATTTTTATTAATATAAATTATGATTAACAAATTAATTTTAACTATTAATAAAGTTTCGAAATGAATTTTAGTCAACGTTTAGTGGTTATGATATTTCATCATATATTGAAAACTATTAATAAATTTTTATTAATGACATCAATAAATATTATCTTAGTTAGAAAACTGACCAAAGAAAAAAGATAATTTCATTCGTCTTTTAGAATAGATACCTTTCTATTTATATGATTCAATGTTTATTTTTTAATAAGGAAAGTTAATTCAGAACCTTAGCTTACCGCTACCAAGATATTGAAAATTTACGGTGGTTATTACTAAAGGGTGTAGAACACCTCAGGAACACCGGAAAGAACTAATTTTCGGATTTCCATTTGAAACTTTGCACAGATACAGTCCTTTGAGAGAATAGTTTCTTGTGAATGTTTCAGATTTTGTTGTTTTTCAAATCTAAAGATACAGCTATGGTAAAATCACGTCTTTTACATTGCTTATATATTTCTTATTTCAAAATAGAAGCAGATCAAAAGATCAAAAAAACTTTCATAATAAACTATTCTCATTAACTTCTACCTCTGTATAAAGTTTCAAGACGAAATTCGAAAATCAGTTTTTCTGGGGTTCTTGAGGGAGACGACGAGAGACGCATTTAAAAACTACGTACAATTACAGTATCTATACAGCAATAAACTAAAGCATTGAACTCTTTTCAATATATTCAAAACTCATTGGGATTTTTATGCTGAACGTATTACCGGCACAAAAAACAATTAATCAATTAGAGGACTTCCCTTGTGACTTAAAATAAACAATTATTCACAGTCTAATTTTACAAAATGTAACAATTTAATTTATTCCATCAATTAAGCATCTTTTACTTATTATTTTTTAATACCTGTTACAGCTTTTATAATAAATTCATATTTTCTAATAAATCCTAGAGATAAGAGATAGAAAAATAGATATACGAAAAAATTCAATACAATTTCGATTGGCTATTAATGAAAACAAATTTAAAAAATATCTTATAATCAACTTACTATCATAGCAGTAGGACTCTCCGAAAAATCAATAGGTTGACAAAGAAAGCTATATCTTTCTTTGATCCATACATAAGTTGCCTATTTATAAAATATTATTTTGTTAGAAATTGATCTTCAATTTTTTTTTACTTGATATGTTATATAAGTACAAAAAATAACCTGTACAACATTGTAAATAAACATAAATTCACGTAATTCAAAAGGTCTTTTATTTTTCATCCATCTTTGTCCAAAAATAATAAAAAGTACATAGGCAATGATAATAACAACTGTTGGAACAACGCTTTTCATTAAAGGCCAATTGTTGACTCGTACATCTGAACAAGGATTTTGATATTAATTACAACAAAATTTTAGAAAATATTCAACAACTTGCCTCCATTTTCTGGTAGAGTTATAAATAAATCATTTTTTATAGTTTGCATTAAATCTGACATATTTATTTAATCTAAAACGAAATGAAAAGATTTCTCATTGATGATATGAACTTATAAATGTCTGACTGTAATCAATGTACTCACTCAAAGTAAAGATAATGGATACTAACTGTTGCATAATGCATAATGTGAATTTGTTCCTGTCATAGATTCATAGAAGGCATGAGGGTAGTAGAAACGACACTTGAAGGAGAAAGAAAACCAGATGTCACACTTTATAGATGTCACCTATATTATGTAACAATCGTGTTAATATACTTTTGTTGATTGCAAAAAAGAAGAGTCATTTTTATTGACAGAGAACTAATATTATTCACATAAAATACATAGGCTAGGACATAGGATGACTTATTGGATGAAATTTAAATAAAAATAGTTGAATATGTGTTGTCCAGTTAAGTATTTATCGAGTAAAATATAACTGAATGTACATTCACTTGATTGAAATGATGCAGTTAACAATGAATAGATAAATTATGAAATGGATGAACATCAACAGTAGTGAATAAACGATGGAAATTAAATTAATTTATTGTAAATAACTCATGTGCTTATGTGCAAAGAACAATTTTCAAGTATTAGCTGCATTTACAAGTGAAATAGGACCAAGTTTCTAAAGTATTTAATTTTATAACGTTCACTTAAAATGCAAAATAGAGTCAGATAGAGATTTATTCATTGTTAAACCAAATAATAACAAAAATCTATGGATTTTATTTGTAAAAAAGGTAAGAAGTTTTCTAGCACTAATATTTATACTTATTATTTCAAAATTGTCTTTGGCGTGTGGTCGAAAACAAGATCTCGAAACATGAAACTTGTTAAAGTCATCGAATTCCATAATGATCATATTCATAATCAATACCTAAAATTGTTCTATTTTACCATTAATATTTTCTATCACCAGTTCTTGCTGCTACTTTGATCTGCCACAAAAAGATCAAGTTAATAAATTTATTATAAAACGTTTTAGATTATAAAACGGAGAATATCATTTTGCTTCTAACTTTATTATCAATTTAAATGTTTTACTTTCAGTTATTATCTTTCTTCATCTCTAACTTTATCTAGGTCACTTATAGGTAGTTGCGGTAGGTATCTAATTTCTTCTGATTCCTGACGTATTGAATGTACAGTAAACTTCCAAAAAAGAGAAATAATATCAAATCCATATTGATTTTTAAACCAGCGATGACTTGAAACTCACACGCATATTCATATCTGCACGATACACTTCAAATAAACATCAGCAATGTCTTGTACGAAGATATTGATATATAACAACGAACTATAGAACATCATTCATAGACAATTTCAGACATTACGAGGCAAAAACCTAATTCAATTTTCTATTTTCACATTGAAAAGTGAAAATATATGATTCAAATGAATAGGGTCAGGCATACATATGTGGACACAGAAATATTACCAAGTATGCATTTAACTTAAAAAAAACATGATGTCAATACTATGAACGAAAAAAAGAACTACAATTCTCACTTATAGCTAACACGGTAACGTCCATCGATCTGAAATATTTTTAAACGAGCACATAGTCTTTTACGTTCCTTTCTTCAATGTTAGAAAGAGTATCAAGTTTATTTGTTGGATCTTTTTTAGTCAGTAATATTTTTGGCGTTGTCATTTTTTTATTTGATTAACTTAGTTTACAAAAAGCATTTAAAGAATATGTATTCTCATAAGTTGCAATATCTTTGTGATAAAATATGCAAAAAATCAAACTAAAACAATCAGTACCTGGCCAATGAAGTGATAGCAAAGAACATTTAACCAGTATCTATATCCGTAATGTTGCTATATCAAGTGAGTTTGAAAAGTACGAGTCATATACGAACGTACACTAGATGTTGTCTGCTGTCATGTTCATTAATCTATAACAGACGAAATGACTATTATCGCACATAATTGAAATGATATTTTGTAGAAGCTGAACTACCCATCATAAGCGTTTGCTTTCTTTCACTGTTTCGTTGTACCTTTATTCACTATATGATGTAAAAAGGGCTTACATTCAAAGATAAATTAATAAATTCGTAAATTATTGCAACATGTACTTCAGAAAAGATATACGTAAAATGATTTTTCTTTAGATAGTTTAGTAATTGTTAAATATAAGAACACAAGAGGTCCAACAAAACAGTGCTGTAATCCATCATACCAGAAAACTACTCGTAAAACGGTATGGCAGGTTACAGCGATGCAGTAAGTTGCCATTTAGGGATGCTTATGACACCGTTTCCAACAACTCGAATAATTGCCCTAGGGGTATACAGTTTTCAACATGGTAGCAACCAATCATCCTGTAGAACATATTCTGAAGCTACGTGCTCAATGTGAATAAGCGCTATGAGTCCTTAGTGTTCTAGTATTAATTGGTTTTCTTTTTGAAGAAAATACCGAATAAATCTTTCATTCACGGACAATGACACACACTGATAATACAAGTTACACAAAGCTGAAACCTTTTAGTCACGGAAAAATTCTGTACAATTCTTTTCAACGATAGAACTATTTTGACAGTTTTAATGCAATACTACTTGATTTAAAGGTAGAATATCGAAAATGCCCTGATTTTAATTGATAAAAGATTCGTCTTTCTAAAAGACATCTGATGAGTGTGCTCAACGCTACTGTACATTCTTGTAAGATTTATTAGAAAATTTTTAACAAAGTCTAATAGAAGAGAAATTATTGTTAAATTGCTTGATATAGTTTATGGATAGCTGCCTGTTGAAATATTAGATAACCAACAGTTTAGCCATCACACTCTATCTTCTTTTTGACCTAGAGTAAGCCAGAATATTTAATGAAGGATCACGTTCCTCGTAATCACAATGACTAGAAAAAACTTTGCCAATTCAATTTAAGTTTTTGACAGCAAAAATCAAATACAAACCGAGAATGTTCAACATAGAAACATCAATAAATGATCTCTGAAACTATGGCTGAATTCAAGATCAATGAAAACTTATCATAACGAAGAATCGAAAACGAGATTAGTTCTTAAAACTGATATTTCCAGAAAGGGGGCTAAGTTTTATTTCTATTTTTGAACTGTCAGCTTAATTACGTCTCCATTATATACTTGCTAAGAATCAAAAGAATATCACAATGAGATATCTGCAAGATGGATGTCAGGTTTAGTAAATCAAAGAAAAGAGAAACTGTGCAGATTAAGGTTCTTTTTAATCGTATGGTTTCATTGAGTAATATCACTACTACATACTTTGGTATATCACCAGCATTCTATGTTCGAAATTAAGTAGAGGGCATCGGATTTTGGAATTCAAAAATTATTATGAGGTATTGAAGATCGTTAAAAAGATATTGCGGACTATTGTGATGTATTCTGAAATTTTCTTTAGAGCATTTATAATGGTGTTCAGTGCTTATTTGATCTTCAATAGATTTGCGACCTCTAGTGTCGTAAAGAAATGCAAAAAGATAAGACTTCTTTACCAATTGAATTTGATTACGTAATATTTGAGCTTTCGTTAGATTATTTTTGCACGAAATGGATGAAATAATTCTTTAATCACACAACTACTTCCTATTCTTGCTATATTTTTTTGTCTTGCTTGTTACATATTATGTTAATTATGTTTGGTACATTAATAATCTTCAATGAAAATAAAATCACAGTTATAAAGATCAGAAATTGTAGAACTATTTATAAAAGAAATATGACCAAGTAATTTTCTAGGGATATGATAAAGAAAATTATATTTACACAGAAGATGAAATTCAGTTTCAATTTAATATTAATAATAAAGCATACAGAAAAAATGGTCATAATTCACTTACTCTCATGGCAATGGTGTTCTCTGACAAATCAGCAGGTTGACCGCACTAACTATATCTTACTCTGATTTGTACTGAAATCGACGTCGTGAAATATATTTCTCATGTCACAAAAATCGGATCACTTTTAGCGGTAAACCGCGGTTTACAAACAAAAATTATCGATTAACCAGTAAAGTGGGGGAAAGTAGAGGTTTGTCGCGCTTAACCGTAGAAAACCGACAATTTTTCTTTCAATTGTCATCACATGGGCAATTATTTGTTTTTTCTACAACATAGCGTCATATCAGTGTGAGTTAATAAAATCTATTAAATCTACCATGATGAGTTTTGATTTATTAGAATGATCTGATGCATGCTCTCTCACAAGTATAGTCGACGATATCAATAAAAAGTGTTTCATTTGTGTAAAACAGCATTTTTATGGTTAGATCTTTGAAAAAAGAAATCATCCAAACACTGAAAAACATCTATACTACCAAGTAAAGAAAACTTTGTGTCTAGCTGCCGGTACGAAAGCCTGTATCGAACTGCATTGGCTGCTTATCGTTACTGGTTATAACTCTCAGTCAACTATTTTATGAATGTCAGAGTGCAACTAATATGCTAAAAATAGAAGAAAAAAGGTAACGGTTATCGGCATTTTTTATGTGATATGAATTGTTATTTGGATATGATGAAAACAAGAACACAACAGAGAAGATACTTGATAAACAGAAAGCAAAAGGTTTCACACCACCAATATATACGTTAGCTACATAATACAATCATTATTTTTGGTTAGAGCAAAGCATCTGTTACTGCAGACTTTTTTTTAGTTTCTCTTTCTATTATAACCTTTCTATTATAAATGTATGTCAAATAATTTTTGCACTTCTTTCTACTTTCTGTTACCAATTTCGTATGCACAATGGGTAAGTACACTTCATACATGAATCGGCTACTGTACATGTGTAAAACAGAATGTCGTCACAATATGAGCTTATTTTTACAAGAAAAAACTGACTCAATTATAGATTAAAGTTCAGATTAACCGATATTTAAACTAATTATAAGGCAAAAAGCAAACAACATTAGAAAATTAATGATGCCATAATTAGAAAGTCTTTTAATTCAAATCTCTTCGATGAAAATTGATAAAACAGTTAATAGATAGGTAGATCTTTATCCAGGATTAG